GGCGCACTGAGGAGTGGGAGCGCGGGTTAGCACATAGTTGTGCTGTGAGAACAGGACCAGACCGGGCTCGGCCAGTGCTCACACCAGCAGGACAGTCATCAACGCCTCGGCGTCCCCCCAGGACGGGACAAAGGAGACGGGAGGAGAGTCCTGTCCCTCCAGCTCAGTGATCGAAGCAGCAAAGGTGTTGTTTTAAGCACAACACAGCAGAAGTCGAGGCCCCCAGGATGTCTTCCCAGGCCTGCGTGGAGGAGCGGCCCAGTTAACCAATGACCTGTTGTCCCTGCACATGTATTTATTACACGCCTACTGTATGCCCAGTGCTGTGCTGATGGACAGGAGACGCTGGACGTCAAGTGCAGGGGGAAGGAGCAGACAGCACCAAGCAGACACAAATTCTTGGCCTCCGACCACCGCCATGGAGGAGGGGGCTGCAGTGAGGGGAGAGGAATGGGGACAGGGAGGTGACTTTCAGGGAAGGCCTAGGGAAAAGGGCACTCCAGGTGCAAGGGCCCACGTGAGAGGGGCCAGGCATGTTTCCAGAAGGTGAGCAAGGGGAGTAGGACCAGGGCGAAGCCGGATCCCAAGGGCACTGCGGGCCCAGGCTGCTAGACTTTACACTAGGGCAGCGGGACCAGGGGAAGGTTAGTAGGATGTGACTCAGTGCACGTTTTAACTGGACACTGTGGGCTCTCCATGCAGAGCAGATCGCAGGGGTGGGAGACAGGTCAGGAGGCTCCACCGAGTGACGATAACATGCCGAGCAGTGGAGAGAAGGGTTGGAACATGGAGGCAGAATCGTCGGGACTTGGTGATGGTTCAAACATGAAGTGTTGGGGGGGATCCACCGTGAGCCCTGAGTGGGCTGAAACGAGAAGCCCAGGGAGGAGAGGCAGGTTCGGGGTGGGTATCCGGAATTGGTGCTGGCCGCTCTGAGCTGGAGACCCGCGTGGCGAACTGGCCGTAGAGGCGGGAGGGCAGGTGTGGAAGCCTCGCCTGGGCAGCACGTGAGGCCTTTGGAGTCAGGCTCAGGAAGGAGACCCCCGGGTCTCCCCACCCAGCTCTGCACCTCCGTGTTCCTAAAACTGGATGACAATGTCCCCACCTCACGGGGCTGTCACAGACACGGAGGAAGGGCCTGGAGCAGAGCCTGGGATGACCTTGTTCTCAATCCCCGTTAGCAAGCGAGCGTTACCAGGCTGGTAAGGAGCGTGTGATTAACTAGGGAGAGGGTGAACCAAGACGCAACAGGACCGGGATTCAAAATTGCGTCCTACGGCTCACCCTGGGTTTAATTACATCCAGTGTCTTCCTGGGAAGGAATAGTTTCCTGCTAACCCCTTGGGTAACAGGCTGACCGTGAAGTGAACCCCTCTCCCTGGGGCCACTGGCCTGCCCAGCACGCCGCTCTTTATCGCCCATCACACTTCTCTGTGAACTTAGTGCTCTAGACAGAAGGTGCTGTGAAATAAACGAAGAGAAAGGACCAGCTAAACAGGTAGACCGAGCCGTTCCTCCCTGAAGGAGTTCACGGGGCGGACGGGCCCGAGCTCAGAAGCCAGGACAAGGCGTTTGAATCCTGACTCATCTCTCAGGGCCCCTCCACCTCCACCGCGGCGGTGTGGGCAGGACTGCTCTCTGTGTGGGCCCGTCCCGTGCACTGCAGCATTCTGAGCAGCATCCCTGGCCTCCACCCACTAGCACCCCACCCCCAGCTGCGACAACAAAAATGTCCTCGGACCCTCGGATATTGTCAGATGTCCCCCAGGGGCAGAATCATCCCCCTCGTGGGAACCCTGGGCTGGATACTTCAATGTTCTGTACCTCAGTCTCTCCACTTATAATACGGAGCTGCTGCGAGGATTAATGAGACAACACATGTAGAATCACCTAGAACAGTACAGCACACTGAAGTGGCCAATAAATATTAGCTGCAAAACACTGTTGTCCTGAGGGACACGGAAATAAGTGAATCACACTCAACGTGAGAGCAGAGCAACCAACACATAAACAGGGCATGAGGAAGCCTCAAGGAAGACAGAGGGATGCCATCCGAGAAAGTTGGGAAATCTTCCAGAACCTTCCCAGAGCAGGGGATGGCGGCCGAGGTGGATTCTGAAGGAGGCAATGCCAGAGGGACGGCAGGTGCGGAAGCGGGGAGACAGGAAGAACGGGGCCACATCCTTGGGGAATTTAATGGAAACCAAAAGCACGCAGTTTACAAACTGTAAGACTTGGGGCTGAGAGCCGAGGAAAACGGTGTGTTCGTTACACAATAGTTGTTCGGTAACATCTGCTGAGTTGAGAAAGAAATCAGGATGGCATCCAATACGCCTCCACACAGTCAATGCCTTCAGTCCTTCTGTTCCCGTTCCTTCCGGGTGGGGTCAGCTGCTGCAGCCCCAACCACGGCCCCAGCACAGAATTATTTGCATGGACATGGGGTGAAGAGGCCTTCTCCCTGCAAGGACCGGAGGACTCTTTGTCCCATGGGGCCTCGGTACTCCTCTGAGGCCAAAGTGGATTTAAGGAACACAGGAGAGCCGTCAGGAATATTTTTTCCAGCATCAAATTCACTGAGCTTTTCCTGAAATTAACTGATACCTTCCTTCACCCCGCCCGTCTCCTGTCGGGCAACACAGGAAGCCAGGGTCTTCCAGGGGCCTCGGCTGCCTCCACCTTCCCAACCCGAGGCCAGAGCTCGGCTTACCAGGGAACAAGTAATAAAACCCTTGCGACGACAGTGCTGCTTTCACCACCAATAAATGAGCTCAATTACCTCCATGCCAAAGGGGGATGGCTTCAAAGGAAGAGAGGAAGAAAGAGAGGAAGGAGGACAGAGTAAAAATAATCAGTCTGAATCAGTCCTATCTCGGAGGGAAATACGTAGGATAATCTTAGTACCAAAGACATTCAAATTAGTCCCATGCCAATCACGACATTTCAGTGGGTCTTCTGGTGATGACACACTGGGCCATTCCCCAGTCATTACTTTTCTAGAAACGACTCTCATGATGAAAACGAAATTGGAGAACTCTGGAAGTTCTCAACAGGTCATTCTCTCTTTGGAGAGGGTCCAGGAGTCCACATGTCCCTAGCGGCCTGCTCACATGCGGCCCCAAGCTTACATCCTGGACCTCTCGAACCCAGGCCTGCCGCTGTGGCCGCTAGAGCGAAGCTGGTCTCCCCACCCTAGGCTTCCGACCCATCTTCAAGACAAAGCCGCCAGAGCCTGCGGGGAGACTGAGGGGCTCTCCCCACCAGCTCCCCGCCGCCACGAGTCTCAACCAGTGACAGGACCAATTGCACAGGTAACACTGGGTGGTCCACCCAATTGGGCAGGAGCAGGTCTGATGTGTGCACTGGCCTGGCATACAGCAGGCACTCAACTAATGCTTGTGGAGTGAGTGAATTATTGTATACTGGCTGACCCCCTGGAGTGCACCAGGCCCTTCCCTGGGGGCCTGGGGCCACAGCACTTCGGAAGAGGCCAAGACACCAGCTCAGCGCCGTGAAGTGGGAAGGAGAGGAAGGGCGTACCACTGCCCGCTTCAGGAAGCTCCACGGAGCACGGCTCCACTACAACTCAGAGCGGGGACCGGGGGAGAGGGGAGCCCAGGCCAGGTCTCCTCGGCACAACCGGAGACCCCCATCTGACAACTCTGTGTGGGCTTCAGGGGCCGCGTGTCTCCTTTGCCTTCCCTCCCCGCTCACCACCAGGCCCCAGGGCAGCCAGGAATTGAGGATTAACACTCAGCGAGACAGTGGGAAAGAGACCTCCAGACCCGATGGGAAGGACAGATGGACAGCCAGCCACAGACAGGCGGGCGAGGGGAGAACACGGAGCAGGCAAGCACTTTCTCACCACACGGCTGTACCACCCATTGTAAGCAGGCTGGGGTTCAGACGCGGCCAGCTGGGGCACACCCCCACCTCCTCAGGCTGCTGACAACCTCTCTCTGGTGGCTTCTCCTCTTTTGATGCCAAGACCATGCACAGCCACCTTCCTCTCCCAAGCCCCCAGGGGTTTACTCTCTCTTCCTGCTTAATAAATCCTGCTAATACCCTAAACCCCTGTCCTAAGCTTGATCAACTTGTGCCGTCCCACACGGCAGACAATGATGTCTCAGGTGTTTCTATTAAACGTGCTAACCAAGGACACCGTCCATGGAAGAACCCCAGTGCTACCTCCAGTACGAATCAAGTCCCACCCAATCCCCAGAGAGCTTTCCAGAAAGACAGACCGTTCACAATGGGGGCCGTCGTAAACTGCATTTTCACAGGGGCCACAATTTTATGTAACAGGAGATCGAAGACCACAGCAAGAATGGGTGTTTCTGTACTGCTCTCGGCGGGCTTTTCATTTTCAAAAACAACCGTGAGCCGCCTTTGGAGCAATTCATCCCTGTGACTAGTCAGGATATCTCGGGGTGCATGTATCTTCAAGGCGGAGAAGATGAGTAATTTCTACAGCAACAACGAGGCATGAAGGAACGAACCTCTTTCCAGACCCAAATGATAAATGGCTCACGATTTCTCCCCCAGGTACACGGCTTTACAATAACCAATTAAATTTGAAATCCGGAATGAAGTACTTTAAATTTAAAGCCACTTAAAAGGAGCACATGTTGTTTCATGCACGTAGATTTTTTTTTTTAGGTGGCTCTCACACTATAATCTTCCTCCTACTGTTCTCATAAAGAAGTGACTTAAGTCCCACGGGGTCAATAGAGACCTCGGAGTTGTTGTCAGGAAGCCCTCTTCCCACCTGCTCGCTGGCTAAGAAGCCACTTCTGAAATCATTTCAAGGTTCATGGAGCCGACACCCGGGCCCAGCGTCTGTCCTTTGTTTCCCCCAGGAGGGAAGCAGACAGAGGAAACCACTGGAAACCCTCTGACATGTGAACTGGGAGCCTCGTGCAAATCAGAGGGGACCCGGCCCACCACTCCCATCCCCCGCGGCCTGTGCCGGCCCCGGGGCCCAGGGGAGCGACACCTACCGGTGAAGTCCTCCTGACACTCGCAGGTGTAGCCGCCCTCGCGGCTGCGGCACCGGCCGTTGGCGCCGCAGGGGCTGGAGTAGCACAGGTCGATCTCGGTCTCGCAGTAGTCGCCCGTGAAGCCCGGCGGGCAGCGGCACCGCAGGCCGTTGATGGGGTGGATGGGCCGGAAGAGCACGGTGGTGGAGCTGATGAAGGGCGCTGAGCTGTCGAACTTGAGCACCGACACGCACTTCATGTAGTTCTCGCAGGGCTCCCGCAGGCAGATGTTGTCGTCGAAGGGCAGCACGCGCTGGGTGGACACGGCCGTCAGCAGCGTCCGGTTCAGGTAGATCTGCTCCTGCAGGTCCTCTGAGGGGAAGAACTTGTCGCGGACACCGCCGGGGAGCAAGGCCGAGAAGGTCACGTTCAGGATGTTGGAGCTGACGTCCGTGTCGTTCTGGATGTTGAAGACGAAGACGTCGTCCTTGGTGGTGGACAGCACTGTGGCCACGCCTTCCACGAAGAGGGACAGCAGCGGAGAGAGGAACTTCTCCTGCGACATGTTCTCCAGGCGGACGGTGATGCTGTTGGTCAACATGTCGTCCGTGATGATAGTGACCCGCAGGGTGCAGAGCGCCGCCACGCTGTGGATGCCGTCTGCGAGACACAAGGAGGCTGGGGTCACTCGGGTGACCGCCCACGGGAGTCCTGGTCCCACCGGGTACAGCACACCCACTTCCCACACCCAGCCCCCACTTCCCAGCCCCCATCCCTCCCCCTCCACACCTGGCTTCCAAAAGCACAGCTCTCATCATGTCCGTCTTGCTCAGAAGCCCCCACTGGACCCCCAACCCCTCAGCAGGACATCCCATGACCACCATAATCCAACCCTGCACTGCCCCAGAGACTCCCCACTTAACATGCTTTGCTTTAGACACATAGGGATGCTGAGCCCCCGTTTTACCACCTCTGCACCTGTTCCAGGCACCAGGAGACCCATCCTGATCCTACCCATCTCCCCTGCTCGATTCAGACCTCACAATGTCCAGAATGGTCCCGCCCAGGTCTTGGTCTACACTGTGTTGATGGTTTCTCTTCCCTTAGCTGTATCCAATTCATCTCTACACGCCCAGCACATGGGAGACATTCAGCAAATGCTGCTCTAGAAGGACAAGTACGAGATGACTTTGCCCCTCAGCCAACACAAGTGAGCAAACCATGAAACAAAGGACTTAGGATTTTGAGACCAAAAAGAGTACAATATTTTGCTTATAAAGTTGAGCACACCATTGGTTCTGAGCCCAGAATCAGAGGGGCTGTCCAAGGGCTGGCCACAGGTGCTCTCCTTAGGATGGCTGTGGGGCAGCACCACCAACCTTCCCGAGACCCCTCACAGGTGCAGCCACCCCCCACCCCCAAGGGGCCTTTACCTGCCTCCCAAGACCCCCCTCGAATGTGCTATGGGAACCCGAGAAAAACCTGGCAGTTTACATCCTTCTAGCTTGGCTCAGATTCTGTGTCCCCACAGCTCTGGTTGATCCTGCCCCTCTGCTCCCCTCAACCTGTCTCCCTGGCCCCCCATGAGCACACCCGCCAGTTTCCATGGGGCATGGAGCCATCTGTGCAAGCCAGTGACCCCCCTCAATCCTGTGAGCCCCTGGTGGGTAAAGACCTCTCCCTCCCCTCTCAGACCGACTGCCTGGCAGGTGCCCACCGGAGAGGGCAGGAGCCATGGGGGATCCCCTCCCACTTGCTTCTGGGAAGCTGCAGAAGATGCAAGAAAGCCTGGGACCACTGAGAGGATGCAGTCAGGTGACAAAACCCAGAGGCTGGCCACCTTGTCACTCTGGCCCCAGCACAGTCCCCACCAATGCACAAAGCTTGCAGGGAGCCCTTAAAATAACGGGGAACAGGAGCACCGAAGCTTCTGCACCCTGGCACTGTTTTTCTCAGGCACTTGAGAGCCATAAGCCACTGTGCGAGGGACCATGAGTCATACAACTTGTGCAATCAACGGAGAAACATAATCGCTCCAACACACAACACATTCGGTGCTCTACTGAACTATCACAGCAAACCCAAGATTCTGGGAGATTCTGAGAACACCAGCATCATCCCACTTCACAGCTGGAGAGCAGCCCCGGCTTCCACCCCATAATAACACCCATCGCCCAGTAAGTCAGGCCCCGAGCACGCTATTACTATTCCACCCAGTCCTCACGACAACCTGGCAGGGCTGAATTTAGAAAGTGACAATAATATTTGTATAACCTTGGTGTGGGGAGGGCACCTCTAAGGCTGGCACAAAACCCAGAGGTCTGCAAGCTAAGGGCTCAGTTCTGTCTACGGCTTCTACGGAGCAGAAAGGCAACAGCCCAGACCACAGCTGCAGCTCATCTACAAAGGGCCGGCGGTAATTACTAATAAATAATGAGGAAAAATAAATTAAGGCAAAAAGAAATGGCAGAGCACATGGTGGCAGACAGCCTCAAGGATGGCACCACCCCTCTGCCCTCCCCATAAGCAGGCCACTCCCCGGCATGAGCGAGCATTGATTCCCCTCCCCTGGGATGGGCTGGACTTGCAACTGCCTCAGTTTCCCTCCACCATGGTCCTCACACTGCAGCCACACCAGTCGTCCTAAAATGCCCATCTCATCATGCCACTCCCTTGGGGCCCCCAATGGCACCCAGAATAAAACCCACGCCACTGACCCCATCTTATAGTCCTCCATGATTGGTCCTCATCACCCTCCCCTCTCATCATAGTGACACCTCCCTGTCACCCTGGCTCCCTCTTCCTGCCCCAGGGCCTTTGCACACCTTGTCTTCCACCCAGAGCACTGCCCTCCTTGTCAACCATCCAGATCTCAGCTGAATGTCCCTCATCAGAGGGGCCTTCCTCACCCGCCCCCCACGCTCTGCCACATCCCTACTTTATGCGCACAGGAGAGGCCACAGCCTGATTTTATTCTTATTTGTTCATCTCTGTCTCTCCCCGCGTGAGCCATGAGGACTGAGAACCTGTAGGTCTTGTTCCTGTTGTACCTGTCACGTCTAGAACAGTTCCTGGCACTCAGAAGCTGCTAGATAAACATTCGTGGAATGGAGGGAGGGAGGGAGGCAGGGAAAAATGAAGATGCCCAGTGGTACCTCTTTAACCCCAAGATTAACATTTGCACAAACAGCATCAGAGACTCCATTTTTCCAAGTAAGCTATTTTCGTTTTGTTTTTTTTTTTTTTTTGCGAAGGCCCATTATAATAATACAGGACATAGGATATTGTTTGTTTCCTGGTGGCAGGGAATATAAAACATCCTTTTAATCTTAAACCACACACAGATCGGGGCCGCCCCATGGCTTAGCGGTTAAGTGCACACGCTCTGCTACTGGCGGCCCGGGTTCAGATCCCGGGCGCGCACCGACGCACCACTTCTCCGGCCATGCTGAGGCCGTGTCCCACATACAGCAACTGGAAGGATGTGCAGCTATGACATATAACTATCTACTGGGGCTTTGGGGGGGGGGCGGAAACGAGGAGGATTGGCAATAGATGATAGCTCAGAGCCGATCTTCCTCAGCAAAAAGAGGAGGATTAGCATGGATGTTAGCTCAGGGCTGATCTTCCTCACACACACACAAAAAAAACACACACACACGGATCTGTTCTGGCCCAAGATACAAAGGTCATGCTGATTTTAAGCTCCAAACTTTGCTCATCTTGGGTGCCCTGGGCTATCCTGTCCCCCTCCCCGGGGTGGGGTGGGGGTTCTAGCACTCGGACCCTCTCACAGGCAGCCCAGGGGGGCACAGCACAGAGGAATGCCCAGAAACAAGGAGCCACATTCCAGGTACAGACATTTTCACTAAGGGCCAAAATGACAACATGACCAGAAAAGAGCATTAAATATTAACTAGCATCGAATGCGCTGGAAAACAAAATATGCACCTTACTATTAATATACATCAATTTCTTTCAAGACCATGGACGGCCCTGGACACCCCAAGTCCTGGGAGACAATGAATTTACTTTGTACTCAAGTCGTCTGGCCTGGACTTCTGAGCCTCCACAAGCACCAACCTGACTGCCCATCAACAGGGGGCCCCGAAATAAAGAACGGCTGTCCCGACCGCGGAGCTCTGCACAGCTCACCCACAACAGGGAGACACCTCCACTGCTGTCGGGACAGACGCGGACAACACGACGTTAGGGGAAGAGTGAGTGACTCTGCACACAAAACAAAAACACGTTTGTGCACGAGTCCAGAGAGCCACTGGCAGGGAGAGCAGAACATCCACTGGTTACCACGGCTCCGTCCGGGTCGCTGAATTTGTTTTTAAATAAACTTTTTATTTTAGAACAGTTTCAGGTTTACAGAACAATTGAAAAGATAGTGCAGAGAGTTCCCAGATACCTGGCACCGGTTTCCCCTATTATGAACATTATTACATTAGTGTGATATATTGTTACAATTAATGAAGCAATACTGATACACTGTCAACTGAACGACGTCCCTGCTTTATTCAGAGTGCCTTAGCTTTTACCTACCGCCCTTTTTCTGGTCCAGGACTCCATCCAGAGGCCCACAGGACATCTAGTCGCCATGTCACCACAGCTCCTCCGGGCTGGGATGGTTTCTCAGACTCTCCTTGTTTTTGCCGACCTTGACAGTTTTGAGGAGTCCTGGGCAGGAATGTTAGGTCACTGATATTTGGGTGTTTTTCACTTTCTCCTCTGTATTTTCCTATATTGTTTTATTTTTCTGCATGAGCATACACTAGGTTTACCAATTAAAAGCCTATTTTTATTTGGAAAACACAGAGCTTGCCCAGGGCTCTCCGCAGCCTGTGTTCCAGGCGTTCCTTCTGTGGCTATAAGCAACGGTGCTGGAACGAGCAACTCCGGGTCAGCTTTGCAGCGCCCCACAATCAGTCACGCGCAAGTTCCACTGCTTTCCTTAGGAAAGATAAGTCACCTCCCTGTCCCTGAGTCACAGTGGGAAAGAGACAGAACAGATGGCAGAGCTCGAGGCTGTAGGATGCTCACCGGCAGGTGCTCTATGCGCACAACCTCAGACGATGCCTGGGAACAGCTCTGCAGGTCTTCACGGAGGGTGGGGTCTGTCCAGCCCTCTGACTTTGGGGAAAGGATAACCATCATGCACGATCACGTCCCTCGTGGCAGGACCATGCCTGCGTCACTGGGGGGAGAGGTCACACTGTGGCCTCCAAGGAGCCAGTGGCCCTCGTGGGGTGGGGGACAGAGCTGCACTTGCAGGACACGGTGCCAGGACAACCCCAGGAGGCAGCAGGGAGGCAGGCCTCCAAGGAGCAACAGAGTTTGTCCTGGGGCTGCCCTCACAAAGCACCGCAGCCTGGGGGCTTTAGCGGCTGGAACAACGTTAACCTCTCAGTCTAGAGGCCGCAAGTCCGAGATCAGGGTGTTGGCAGAGTTGGTTCCACCTGGAGGCTCTGGGGGAGAATCTGTTCCATGGCTCCCTTCCAGGTGCTGGTGGCTGCTGGCAGTCCTTGGCGTTCCCTGGCTTGTCACTCCAATCTCTGACTTGTGGTCATGTGGCCTTTTCCCATGTGTGTCTGCGCCCAAATTCCCCTCTCTTAAAAGGACAGTAGCTGTTGGATTAGGGCCCACTCGAATCC